ACACACACACACACACACACACACACACACACACACACACACATAGACAGACACATATACAGAGCATCAGTCTTATATTTTTATCTGCCACATAGCTACATGTATCACGTCCCAATTTTTGTATGTGTATTAATGATCATTGCTGCATGATAACTGACAGAATGAAAAAAATGGGTGTTTTGAAATTCTTGATTGACATTTGAACAATTTGAGGGAGCCAAGGCTCTGCACACTTTGTAGGAATAGAAGGCTCAGGGGACTTTGAGTGTGGAAAGGGCTCTGTGCACACAGGATGAGGCTGGCAGGGTTGCTTGCACTGCTGCTGTTGGTAAGACATCGTGCTGAAATCTCGGGATCTGAAATCCACTCTGTGACAATTTTCACAAGAGGTCATTCCCCACAGGGAAAGAATCTCAAGGTATTGAAATATCAGAACTATTCCTCAATCAAAACTCCTGCTCAAGACTTCCTGACTTCCCTTACATGTCACCATCATTTTTCATCACATTTTCTGTGAGTAAACATCTTTCTTTCAAAGGACAGAATGATGGTACTTGCAGAAAACATCATCTTCAAGAAAGGCAGTCTGAAGTTAAAGTTGTGAAATACTGAGCTCTCTCAGAGGTGACAGTAACTGCTGCCAGTGTTATCACCTTTTTAATTTTATAAGTAATTGAATTTTACATATCAGCCACGGATTCCCCATCCTCCCTCCTCCCATCTGCCCCCCACCCTCCCTCCAGTCCTCCCCCCATTCCCACCTCCTCCAAGGCAAGGACTCCCCTGAGGATTCAGCTCAGCCTGGTAGATTCAGTTGAGGCAGGTCCAGTTCCTTCCTCCCTTCACCCAGGCTGAGCAAAGTGTCCCTGCATAGGCCCTAGGTTCCAAAAAGCCAGCTCATGCACCAAGGACAGGTCCTGGTCCCACTGCCTGGGGCCTCCTAAATAGTTCAAGCTAATCAACTGTCTCACTAATCCAGAGTGCCTGATCCATTCCATAAGGGCTCCTCAGCTATTGGTTCATAGTTAATGTGTTTCCACTAGTTTGGCTATTTGTCCCTGTGCTTTTTCCAATCATGGTCTCAATATCTCTTGCTCATATATCTCTCTCTCTCTCTCTCTCTCTCTCTCTCTCTCTCTCTCTCTCTCTTCCCCCCCCCATTGGACTCCTACATCACAAGAAGTTGACTATAGTATAAAAGAGAACCAAGAAGAAGTAAAAATTATAGAACCCTCTAAGAGGGAGAACAAAAGAGTTCAAAAAAGAGAAAAATATTCTCTTTGGTCTTTTAAGTTGCTTTATAATTAGAGATGGAAGAATAGAATGAGGAAAGTGAAGCAAAGCCATTACTAGCTCCAGCTCTGCTCTGAGAAGCACACAGGTACTGAATCAACCTCAGTGAAGCATGTCAGCTTCCTGAGACTGTCAATGCTTCTGACAGTAAGGAAGGGTTTGGCAGAGAATGCCATTGTCCATGCCTCTGAAGGGAAAGAGTCATCAGTTCTACACCTGAGGCCAGGTACCACGAAAAGTACCACCAGTGGACGGCTCATAAAGGTTAGTGCACATACCATGGAGTCAGGTGATTAGGAGACTTAGTATTCTCCATATTTGCATATCACACCTAAATAATGATCTTAGGCAATGACTGACTTCAACCATGCCAAATTGCAAAATTGACTACAGAGATGGAATGCCAGTAAAATACAGAGTCAGTTAACATGAGGTTCTTCTTCCAATTATAGCCTACTCAGAAGGGTGGAAAGGGTTAAAGGGAAGTAATACAAAGGGAAGACTTACATTGTTGTGGGACATCAGAGGGCAGGGTAGATCAGATCATGTAAAGAGCGATGATTAATGTTAAAGACCTTTGAAAAAGCCATGTGGAAATCTACTACTCTAAAAACTTACATATATATATTATATGAATATAATGATTTAATGCAGTTACCTTACAATGGGAGGGAGTGCAATAATACACATAGGTACCTCATATTCATAAATGCACACCTCAGTAGCAGTAGTAGCTTACTTCTTTTTTGTTGCTAACAGGTGGGGTCCCATAGACAAACTCCACTACCTTACAGACAATTGCCTGTAACTGGGCTACCCTCCAGAACTTTAAGGTCAGGTCCTATTTCTGTAGAAATCAATGCTTAGGTCAGAGAACATGAAGAAATCTAGGAGGTACTCACCTGGCCAGTCCTCATGATATTGGAAGGCACTATGTACACTGCAGAAGAGGACAAGTACTCACCATCCTCACCCAGTTCTGAACACTACAAGCTACAACAACGACTGCCTTGACAAGATAGGACCACTGGTATGACAGTGGCACAAATGTATGGGAGCAACCAACCGCTTTCTGTTTGGATTTAAGATCCCACTCTACAGGACAAAGTGCATATCTAGCACAAATAAAGGGGACACAATCTATAGATAGGCATAGGCCCTGGGGCATAATCCAATTAGTACTATTATTTTGCTAAACAGACAAAGCAACACAGCAATTCCTCATAATTTATTGTCATACAAATATCAATATATTTCTCAATCATCATCTGAGCAGCTTCTCTTTGCAGTAGGTTATTAACAAAGAGAGCTGTAACTGATAGATGGTGCTAAGAGTAAGAAAATAGTGTTTGCATAGCATTACCTCACAGAGGAGTTGGCAGAAAGATTGTAAGAACTACAGATAGAAACTGCTTTCTTCATATAACCAGACCATTAAATGTTTGAACTCATAACTATTGATACAGCATACACAATATACATACATCATGATGACATCCTTCACTTTTTATGATGATATGTGCTAGTTACGTTATTTTTTAAATAGAGGGTACTAATTCTGACAGCAGCTGAATCTCTTTCCAGGCTGAGACACAAAAGATGAGCAGTTTCTTCCAGAGAAGCTCCATGAAGAGCAGCCACAGATGAACAAGAAGAACAGCACACTTTCTCAGAGTGTGAACCTTAAAGACAGAGACATGGAACAATGTGTGCACAGATGTTATACACACACAATGGTCCTTCCTAGCTATCCTATATCATTGAGTTAAACATTTGATTTTCTTAATTTTAATTTTTTTCAGCATAGTTGACCCTGAGTTAAACCTGCATATTTTTGTCCTGACTTCTAAGGAATTATATGAATCAATTAAAGGCCTGAATATGAGGGTCTAATAACTTACAAGCTATTCATTTAAATTAATATTTTACTGTGATATAATCTGTGCCATTAAGAAAAAAATCAAGATTCTACACTGTCACATGAAAAAAATCAATAACAAGCAACATAAGATCTGATGCAGGCCTCACATTCCTTTGATGGAATCATGTTCCCACATATTTGCACATTTGACAATATTTCACTTGGTTTTTTGATGATGTTCTTGGTGCTGGAGATAATGGTCATGGAACGGTGATGGCCTGGACATGGTGCTCTTAGGTGGTAACGGTAGTGAGGGTGAGAATGATAGTGCAGGGAGGCAGTGCTGGCTGGTGTCATAGCTTTTAGTAGCTGTGATAGTGTTTCTAGTATTGGTGATGATGATGGGGATGTTGCAGATGGAAGTGGAGATAGTAGTGAGTGTAGTGGAAATGATGTGGATCAGCAGCTTCCAGTCCTGTCACTTACTTGGTACTAATTGGGTGCCTTGAATGTGCCCATTAAATGGCATGCATTTGTTCAATTATGACCAAAGGCAAGACTTTGGCAGACTTAGGAGTTTCCACAAGTAACAGTAACAAGAAAATATTCAACATCTGTAGCCATTAGAGAACTGGAAAGCAAACCTACACCAGAAGACCATTCTACCCATGTAAGAATGAGTACCATCAAAATAATAACAACAATTCAATTCCTGGCAGAGGAGTGGAGGAAAAACAACACACGCTGTCACACTGTGAGAGAGTGAATTAACCCATCATGTATGGAAATCAGTGTGGGGTTTCATCCAAATAAGTAACACTAAAGCAAAACTGTCATATGATTCAGCAGCATCACTTGGGTTCATATGAGAAGAAGTCAAATACAGTATAAAACAGAGATGCCTGCATATCCATGCAGAGTTCACAACTACTCGTAATATGCAAATTAAGTAATTTATCTATCTGCTACCAGTGAATAAATGGGTTAAGAAAATGTGGCACCTATGTGTACTGGAATAATAATCGGCCATAAAGAATAATGATATAGTGAGCACTTCAGGCAACTAAATGAAACTCCATATCATCATGCTAAGAAAAATATATACACTCTTAAATTCAAGTTTGGTATTGATGTTACAAATCTAGAAGGAGAAAAATATAGCAAGGATAGGTTGATATAGATGTGTAACTATAAGGTCAGAAAAAGGAGAACAGTGAGAGCAAAATACATAGGGATATAGGGAGAAAATATGTCCTAAAAGGCACATGCATATCTGAATATTACCTTATCTTCTTGAGTTAACATGTGCTAAAGGAGAGACTGTAGTTATGCAGAATGAAATGATGTGTCTCTCAAGCAAACAAACACCAAGTAATTTTCTTAGGACCCATAAATCAGTCAAAACCTGATTACTGCAGAATGACATGGAGATCAAAGAATAAAAATATTGAAACAGAAGAATAACAGGAGGGTAATAGAGTGAGGTTTAGAGGAAAGGAACATACAAATATGATCAAGAAATTATACTTTATTCAGGAGATGAAACCAGAGTGGCAACAACCTAACTAAGGTGACTGTCAGTTTTGGAAAACATCCTCTCAGAGCCCGGGGCGGGGGGGGGGGGGGGGGGGGGGGGGGGGACTGTTGCTCTTCACTCTGAGAAACAGGGGCACAGAACCAGTGAGGAGGTCATTCTCAGCAGCCCCTTGACCACAGAAGCAGAACAACTGCAGGGGAACACCTTCCCTATCGGGGTCAACACAGACACATGGAGGGTGAAATATGGAGAAGATTCTTCTGCATCCATGAGAGACTTTGAAGGGAAGATGGGAGTGTTTCTACAGAAGCCTCAGAGACAGAGTTCCTTCTCTCTTGGTCCCGGTGACAGCCGAAGCACTCACTTGCTCTTGGGTGGGCACTTCTGCTGGCAGGCTGGAGGGGGTTGCACAGGAGGACATTTCTGCTGGCATGGCTGAGGGGGACAGGGCTCTGGGCACTTTGGGGGAGGACAAGGCTCTGGGCACTGTGGAGGAGGACAAGGCTCTGGGCACTTAGGGGGTGGGCACACAGGAGGAGGCTGGCAGGGCTGCTTGCACTGTTGTTGTTGGTAAGACATCGTGCTGAGGTCTCAGGATCTGAAAGACATTACATGAGAGTGTTCAGAAATGATCCACACAGAGAAGACTGATGGAGACATGGAACATCAGAGCCATTTCTCTCTACATGCATGTGCATATTACCCTATTCATGCTTTAGAACAGGCTGGTTTTTCCTTTATATTGGCAATCTGGGATAGTAGCCTTAGGAAATAACCTTTTTTTTCATGCCTTTTTGCTATGAGAAAAAACAAATTTCTTCCAATGAAACAAATAAGGCTGGTTTCACACTAAACATCTTCAAGACAGGCATTCTCAAGTTCTAGAAGACTGACCAATCTCAGAACCAATTCCTGACTCCCTTATCACTTGTGACATACCAGCAAGTTGTCTGGATTTGCAGAATTGAGGACAGCTTAGGTAAATCCCAGGTTCTAATACCTGCTAAGGTATAGGGCTGTAAAAATGACACCAAAAGATGTATATGACGCAGAGAAATGCTCTGTTCACTCACCTACCAAATAAAAGGAAAAACCACCTGTCAGAGTGGACTATTGTATCCACTGCTAAATTTTAGTTGCTTAGTAGATACCCATCATCTCATGATCACAAAAGGACTGATTACACTTACTCCCTCAAAACTGACTACAGCACATAAGAAGACCATAAAGACAGACCAACTCAACAAATGACACTCACCAGGTTCTCCAAAGTAGTCCAGGACTTGAGTACCAGGAGTCTGCAGTCATGCAGCAAAGTTCCTTTTTATAGGACTGGTTGCCCAGCCCAGTGGAAGTACAGATGACTGACCGTGGGCAGGTCCAAGAATTTCCCAACCAAAATGCAAATCCATGCATGACTGGCTGGACTGGGACTCTACAAAGTAGGAAATATCCTTTTTCCAGGACATCATCCCTGTAAAGTTCTGTGACTCATTGGGTCCTCTTGTCTTTTCAGTTTCAGCAAGAATTCTCTGGTTGTCTGAGTTGTTTCCTTGATTGAAGACAATATTTCTTTTCTCTATTACAACTCTCTTGTATTCTGTGTGTTCTGTTTCAGCTCTTTGATGTTCTTTGATGCTTTGGCCCATTTATATTCCTGTTTCCATGGTATAATCTGCCTATGTGCTGAAAGAAGGAAAGTGTTACTAGGGACTTCAGAAGACTCATAATCCCTCACAATTCTCTTGTGGGAAGAGCTGTGGAGACCACCTGTAGGTGTGGTACACACCAAGAGGAGTTTCTACAAGACCTTCCAAAACCCATAGTATTCTGAATCCTTCCTATATACACATGTGCTCATTTCTTAAACAGGCACACAGACAGACAGGCACACAAAGACAGATAGACAGAGCATCAGTCTTACATTTTTATCTGCCACATAACTACATGTATCACTTCCTAATTTTCTAATGTATATTATTGATTCATTGCTACATAATAAGTGACAGAATAAATTTAAAAAATGGGTGTTTTGTAATTCTCCATTGACTTTTGAACACTTTGGGGGAAACCAAAGCTCTGGGCACTTTGAAAGAAGACAAAGCCAGAACACTTTGAAAGTGGACAAGGCTCTTGGCACTTTGTGGGTGGGCACACAGGATGAGGCTTGCAACTGCTGTTATTGATATAACATTATGCTGAAATCTCAGTATCTAAAAGACTTGATGGGACAATTCTCACAAGAAGTAATTTCCTACAGAGAAAGAATCTTAATGTTATGAAATATCAAAACTATTCCTCACTCCAACTCCTCCTATAGACTTCCTGACTTCCTTTTCATGATGGGGGAATGTCTTTCTGTATGCTGTGAAAATATGTTGCCCTGATTAGTTGATAAATAAAGCTCTTTGTCCTATAGCAAGGCAGCTTAGGGACAGGCAGAAAATCCAAACATATTGAGAGGAAGGAGAAGGATATGCTGACAGCTGACGACATGAGAAACAAGATGTAAAAGTACCAGTAAGTCACAAGGCATGTGGCAAAGTATAGATAGATAAGGGGTTAATTTAAGATGTGAGAACTAGATAACAAGAAGCCTGCCCTGGCCATAGTTTAAAAATAATATGAGCCTGTGTGTGTTTATTTGGGTCCGAGCTGCTGGGTGACCTGCAAGTGAGAGAGATTTGTCCTGAGCGCCAGCCAGGCAGGACACAGGAAAACTTTCAGATACAGTTATATGTCACCATTTTGTTTCATTAGCCTAGAAAACCATTTTTTTTCATATTTTCTGTGAGAAAACGTCTTTTTTCAAAGGACAGAAGGATGGTGCTTGAAGAAACCATCATCATCAAGAAGGGCAGTCTGAATTTTAAGTTATAAAATAGTGATCTCTCTCAGTGATGACCATAATTGTTGTCACTGTTATCACTTGTGATGTCACAGGAAGTCATCAATGTTATAAAACAAAGCACAGAAAATGCAAGAATCCTGAACCTACTAAAAGTGAGAACAAAGAGTTCAGAGAAGAGAAAAATATTCTCTTTGGTCCTTTAAGTTGCTTTATAATTAGAGATGGAAGAATAGAATGAGGAAGATGAGCAAAGCCATTACTAACTCCAGCTCTGCTCTGAGAAGCACACAGGTACTGAATCAACCTCAGTGAAGCATGTCAGCTTCCCGAGACTGTCAATGCTTCTGACAGTAAGGAAGAGTTTAGCTGAGAATGTCATTGTCCATGTCACTGGAGGGAAAGAGTCATCAGGTCTAGACCTGAGGCCAGGTATCACAAAATGTACCACCAGTGGATGGCTCATAAAAGTTAGTACACATACCACAGAGCTAGGTGAGTAGGAGGCTTACTATTCTCCATATTTGCATATCACACCTATATTATCATCTTGGGCAACACCTGGACTCAGTCATGCCAAATTACAAAATTGCCTACTGATCTGGGATGTTAGTATCACACAGAGTCAGTTAATGTGAGGCTCTTCTTCAGAATATAGCCCACTCAAAAGAGTACAAAGGGTTAAAGAGAAACAATGCAAAGCCTAACATTGTCATGGGACATAGGAGGGCATGGTAGATTAGGGCATATAAAGAGATTTGATTAATGTTAAAGACCTTTTGGAAAAACCATATGGAAATCTACTACTCTAAAACCTTACTAAAATATATACATATTTAAAATGTTTTAATGCAGTTAACTTACATCTAGAAGGGTTCCAGTTGCACAAGTAGATGCCTCATATTAACAAATGTAAACTTTAGTGGCAGTAGTAGCTGACCAATTTTTAGTTGCTAGCTAGTGATGTCCCAGAGAATGACTCCACTCTCTTACAGACTACTACCTGTAACTTGTCAATCCTCTAGAACAACATGATAAGACCCCATTTCTGGAGACATCAATGCTTAAGTCAGAGAACATGGAGAAATCTAGGAGGTACTCACCTGTTCACTTCATTCCTATTGACCAGCCCTCATGGTATTAGAAGGTGCTATGTACACTGGTAAAAAAGAAAAGTACTCACCATCCTCACCCAGTTCCAAACACTGCAAGCTACAACAATGACTGCCTTGGCAAGATATACCCACTGGTATGATAATGGCACAACTGTATGGGAGCAACCAACAACTTTCTCTTTGGATTTAAGGTCCTTCTCTATAAGACAAAGTGCATATCTAACACTGGTAGAGAATCTATAGCTAGATAGAACATAGGCCCTGGGGGATAATCCAATTAACACAATTATTCTGCTAAATGGACAAAGAAACAGATAATTGCGTGAGACTTATTGTTATACTCCTACCAACATATCTCTCATTCATCATCTGAGAAGCTTCTTCTTGCAAAAGATCATTAATAAAAGGACCTGCAATGGATAAATGGTGCTGTGAGTAAGAAATTATTCATTTGCTCAGCATTACCCTCACAGAGGAGTTGGCAGAAAGATTATAAGAACTAGAGGTAGAAACTGCTTTCTTCACATAGTCAAGTTGTTAAACATTTGAATTCATAACTATTGAAACAGCATGCATAAGTAATGTGAAGCTCAAACCAGACCAAAAGTCATCATACAAGAGAATGGAAGTATGAAATACCACCACTTGCTGAGGAGTTATCAGCAGTTGATAGGTTCTGAGAGAAGAAATGTCAGTTTTCTTCAATGATGTGACACTTGCTGTGTTGTCCACACTCCAGGGTAGGACCCACTGTCTAGAATACCTGGACTACACAAACTAGAAGTCATGGAGACAAGGACAAGCAAATAAAAAAAAATCAAAGTTGGGTGGCAAGAGAAGGAAAGGCACAGTAGGTAGATGACAGTTGTGGGTAAGCCAGTGAGTGAGTATCATTGGAATGCATTGGATAAATTTTCAAAGGATAAATAAAGATATTATAAAGAAGGACACATGTAAGTCTCCAAAGACCAGTATCACATGTTTGCTCTCATGTCTTGAGGCAGCAGATAAAGGAGAATACAATCTATCTGCTTATATTTAAATGTCATGATGAAATCCTTTACTTTTTACAATGATATATTATAATTACATTATTTTCAAGATAGAGGCTACTAATTCTGAAAAGCACTGGCACTAGAGTCAGAGCAGCTGAATCTCTTTCAAGGCTGAGACACCAAAGGTGAGCTCCTTCCACAGAAGCTCCATGAAGAACAGCCCACAGATGAACAGGATGCACAGCACACTTTCTCCAGGTGTGAACCTTCAAGACCAGAGAAAGAACACATGTGTGCACAGATGTTATACACACACAATGGCCCGTCCTAGCTGTCATATATCATTGAGCTAAACATTAGATTCTCTTAATTTTATAACCTTTTCAGGGTAGATGACCCTAAGCTCAACCTGCATATTTTTACCCTGACTTCTAAGGAATTTTATGACAAGCCTGAACAGGAAATTCTAATTTTTTATGCTTCTTCATTTAATTTAATATTTTAATATGATGTAATCTATGCCATTAAGAAAAAGTCCCTGAAAAAAATCTAGGTTCTACATTAACATATGGAAGAATCAATAACAAGCAACAGGAAGTTTAAATGCAGACCTCACATGCTTTGGCTGGAATCC